AATATATCAAAATCAGTCTATTATCTTAATCTTATTTCATTGGCTAAGCCTTGTTTTCAGCCGGTTGGGGGTTGGAGAGGAATGTCGTTGGCGAATTTTGATCTGATGGTTCTCTGCTGCTTGTCGTATTCTCACTGCACTTTTTTCTCTGTGTTTGGAGTGTGATAAAACACAGTCTGTCGTGTTGAGATTTTACATAACACACTACCAGTTCGGGCTCCCTCCTTGTGTGTTTTTTTTTTTTTTTACTTTAAGATCGGAATTGAAGAACATAGTGACCACCAAACAGAAATTCTAAAGTTTGACCGGAGAGTTGCCTGTCGTATAATAAGTGAAGTAAATGGGGAGGGCAACTCTTTAGCTTTGACACAAATTTAGGCAATCTTTTGTCATTCAGAAAAATTAGCTAGGGTAACAAAACTGACCCAAATGATGTGTGATATTTGTAACGCTGATAGCAACAGATGCAAGCTTTGACGAGGTAAGACGTGATTACATTTTTTAACCACACTATTACTGCAGCACGCATGTAAAAATTAAATCGATTCAGATGAATTTATTACTGTGACAGACAGATGAAACAATAAGTGTTCTCTATCACGATGACACCTTGCTCATGAAGGCGTCGAAATTCCACTCCTCTCTAGATACTGAGGAGTCTTTCTACCCACAAATACAATTGCTACAACAACAAGCGCAAGCATTAACAGCTGTTTAATTAAACTCATTTAACTTTACACTCGTTCGAAGAAGTAAGTGGCAATTTAAGACTCGCTCACAACTGAGATCTCCAAACTGACGTGATAATACTACTAGTTCGTAACTACTTCGTTACTCAGTATTTATAACGTTAAAGGATGTTGCAATTTTTCATCAATTCTAATTAATTATTTACCTTTCTGAAACCTGTTTATATACAGTTCAACATACTCAAGAAGGCGTGGTCCATTTTAAGGTAATTTTGCAAAGTTCTGTAAATCTTGACGATAATATTAAACTCAATGACCTTTCTTTCTCAAAATCATTAATAATTCATCAAGTTAAACGAAAGAAAATCACAACCGTGAAGGAGGTTTGGATACCCGGTCTTAATTAGCATAGATTTTGACGATTTTATTTCTCCGTTTACTCCTTAGTTTTTGTTTCGATTGAGAAGATATATCAAACGCTCGAGACAGTGTTTCATCGGTTATCCAAACACGGAATTTCGTCAAAAATACTCCGCTGCGCTTCGTATTTTCAACTCTCTTCTCGGATTTTGGATATCCTGATGAAAGACTGTCTCTCATGTTTGATATATTACTGGAAATTTAAAGGCAATGGTGTACGTATTAAATAGTAAGGGTATATGTAAAAGTAAAGAGTTAGACGGCATATTTTCAACTTTTTAATTACGCCGTTAAACAGTCCATCTCCGTTTAGCACGAGTTCAGTACTATTGTTTTCATGAGGGGTCATAGTCAAGTGAAAATTGTCTGTCCTGTTATNTTTTATTTCTCCGTTTACTCCTTAGTTTTTGTTTCGATTGAGAAGATATATCAAACACTTGAGACAGTGTTTCATCGGCTATCCAAACACCTCGAATTCGTCAAAAATACTCCGCTGCGCGCCTATTTTTCAACTCTCTTCTCGGTGTCTGGATATCCCGAGAAACACTGTCTCTCGTGTTTGATATATTACATCAACTTGTTCGCCAATGATTGGACATTTGCGTGACTCGGCTACTGAAACATCACTTGATAAATTGTGGTAGTGTTATGTAATCTCAGTCAAAGTATTACTACTGGAAATTAAAGGCGCATTTACACGACATACATTTTGGGCACGGCACTCCAAAATTTTGACACGCGGGTCGATAGGTTTGGGCACGGCCTGCTTGGTTTACACTGCAAAACATTTTTTCAAGTTTTTTTAATGTTGATTTTTGAACGGCACCCCTGAAACAAGAACGGCATCTTAAAGTTGTGAGTCCCTTCACTTATATGACAGAGGTTTACATATGATTTCAGGCGCGCTTTCGCGGGCAATTGTATGGCTAATTGTTTTGAGAAAGCGAAAACGCATGTCGCAAATGAGGGACGAAACAAGGTCGTTCCTTGCACCACTCTTCATACATACATTAAAGCGGCGAAAGTACAGCTTGCTGTAAGTTATTTTGAGCTGTCTAATGCATCCCCATTCTTTTGCGTGATTTAGCATGGTTGAAGCATCCTTTCCCGATGAGCTGTGGTATTCCGACGTTTGAGTAGCTCGTGGAACATTTACATACATTCTCCACGAGATTGGTGATGACATATTTCGACAGGACACTGCAATGCGAAAAGCTGTTACGCCAAATCGACGACTAGCAATAACTTTGTACTACCTATTCTCTAGTAGAATGTGTTACTTACCTGTAGCGTGTTGTATACCTCTCTAGTTTCCTTTGAGGTTTTGCTATTTTCAAACGCTAACTGGATAGTTTCCTCCGGCCACAGGTTGATTAACATATCTGTGGCATCGTTGCTCCACATGCACATTTTGCCACGTTTCTTCGCCATCTTTCTTCCGGCGAAAGGTACAAGATTTTTGCGCCCCAAAGGCTCATTTTCGACCCCAGAGCTTTTCGCTTTCGTGGTCAGTCATGAGCCCAAACTGACTCTGAGGACGAGAGTACCTCTGCTTTCGGCACGCGGACCTCTTTTTAGGCGGGCCGAGACTACCTACTGAGGTGGTCTCGGCCCGCCTAAATTTTTCGGCACGCGGTACAAAAAATTTGCTTTTGCACGGCAAAAATCAAGCGGGCCATGCCCTATATTGTTGGCCATCGTGCCAAAATTTAGGAGTGCCGTACCCAAAATGAATGTCGTGTAAATGTGCCTTAAGAGATCATTCAAGTAGCTAGAGTTGCTCTTGGCTATCGCATCGAGCAACTCTTACTGACGCTTCTTTCGTGCAACTTCCCGCTTGCATACATAACTCGATACACGCACGCTTAGCATAAACCAATTCTTTAATTTCATCATGCCCGCTTTCAAAAGGGTTATGGTACAGGATGGCGCGTTTATCAAAGATGGTTCCCTTTGAAGCAAACTGGAGTTCCACGACCTTGTTGTCTCAGGACTATGTTTAAACTTGACTGACGTACTGAAAATCACCAAGCAACACGAAAAAACTTGAATTTACTTTATGTGACGGCTGTCCTCGATACTACTCCTTAAAACATTTCTTTTTTGTAATAGTTTTTTAACCTAGTCATAGATTTTAATAATTTCATCTTTTAGTTAGGTTTTTATTCTTTTTAATCATATGCAATATTAATTGTAAGCGCATTGAGAATTCTAAATTCGCAATAAGAACCTTTTTATTATTATTATTATTATTATTATTATTATTATTACTCCTCGCGAATTTTGAATGCTGGCGGAGTTGGCCAGCTCTCACGAAGAATTATAAATCGCTGCTTGCTTCTTCGTGGGGGCACGACGGCCTCATGGTTAACGCGCTCGACTCCGGATCGAGCGGTCCGGGTTCAAGCCCTGGTCGAGGACATTGAGATGTGTTCTTGGGCAAGACACTCTACTCTCACAGTGACTCTCTCTACCCAGGTGGTACCGGCGAACTTTATGCTGGAGGTAACCCTGCGATGGACTAGCATCCCATCCAGGGGGAAGAAGAAATACTCCTAGTTGATTAATGTTACCGAATCTGGAGGTATTCGTCGGCCTGATGGGCCACTTGATTCAGATGCGAACTTTATCTGCCTTTTACTTTGCTTCTTAAGGAAAACGTCCCACGGGCGAACGAGATAAACAAACCACGCGTATTATCTCTAGATTTGAAATGATCGAAGTATTTCAAAGCCGGGACTATTTAAGTTCTTTGACCTGCATTTTGACAAAACAATCTCATTTTGATCCATTGTTCTGGCATCTCTCGGGAGAGGATAACCTTAAATAAAGGACGGATTTCATATTTGAATAAACTTCACTACATTGGGTTCTTCGCAGTTGAATTTATTCTAGTTGCATGCTGCACCTTTTACTTAACTAGTTAGAACTGTAGTGTTAAGGGCTAGAAACAGTGCAGGCAGTTTCCAGCAATTATACTTTGATAGATTGATACAACCACTTTGTGTCAAGTGACGTTAGAATAATGGTATTGCACAAATGCCCAACCATTGGCAAACAAGTGGTTATCTTTGCGGCATAAAGGGTTACCATAGCAATTGAACAATGAAGGCGGTTCTAAACTCCCTCGAGAGAAGATTTTAAACTTTGCAAAAAGATGTAAAACATACTTGTCACATTTCAATAATAACAATAATAATAATTTCTCCTCATTTTCTCTTGTAAAAATAAATTGCCTTTAACAGATTGCACTGTTGCTATGATAACTATTATGCTTCGAAGATAACATCAAATTGTTCACCAATGATTGGACATTTGTGAGATTTGAATATTGCAACATCACTTGATAAAGTGTGATAGTTTTATTCTCAGTCAAAGTATAACTTCTTACAAGCTCTGAAAACTGTTTCCAGTCACCAGGTTGTTCATAAAATGATTAAAGATATCCACTGGAAAGCATAGTTTGTTGTCAAGGCTTACATTTGCACAAGATAGTAATTTAACTGGTAGATAGCATTATCCAGTCATTGTGGAAGGCCTAGGTGCAGTGGCCTCATGATCAGTGCGCCCGTCTCTGGATCGAGAAGCCCGGGTTCAAGCCCTGGCCTGGAATATCGTGTTGTGTTCTTGGGCAAGACACTTCACTCTCACAGTGCCTCTCTCCACTCAGGTGTATAAATGGGTACCGGCGAATTTAATGCTGGGGTTAACCTTGCGATGGACTGACATCTCATCCAGGGGGGAGTAGAAATGCTCCTAGTCGCTTCATTCCACAGAGACCGGGATAAGCTCCGGCCTGATGGGCCACTTGACTTTACCTTGAGAATTCATAACTTGAAGAAGACGACTTGCTGGTTATTAAAAGACAACTGATCGCAATACAAAACGAAATTTACTGTGTTTATCGCTTCTCTTTATTTTCCATTTTTGTTCTAAAATACATCTGTTGCCCTCAATTAAAGTTCCTTTATAACCTCTGTTGAATATTTATAACACAATGAACAAATAATCCCTCTCAATTTCTGGCTTGCTCCTTCTGTGAAGTAAATCGAAATAAAAAGCAATTAATTGTGATACATTTGGTTACTTGAGAAACAATGTGCTCCACTTTTTTTGCAACATGAGTTCTTTATTTCCAGTTTTTGACTTTTGTTTCTTCCATATTTTTTTCCTGTGGTCGCTACTTATGCTAAGGTCTTGTAACTTTGTATTAAGATGTGAGCAGGTGTTTAAATTATTTTTCATTACTTTTAACTAAATAATACTATATTTTTTAATAAGAATATATTTTTGTAACTAGTAATTCATGTCAGTATTCTGTTTCGATTGATTTTATTTTTGTGCAAAAATTGTTGAGTATCCTAGGTTTTAATCCCTATATAGCGCTTTGGACTGCAGTGTATTAGCACTACATAAATGTTTATTTATTCATCTATTTATTTATCACTTATTAAGGATTTTTTTACAAACAGAGATACGCCTTATACAAAGTGGGAGCAATTTGTTAGAGAATTAGAGAAGAGACTCGAAAATATATTTCACCTGCGTTCAGTAGCCACTACCAAGATCATTGTCCTCAGCAAAAGGAAAGTCGAAGTCTTGTTGTTCAACAAACCACTCGCTGCCCCGATAGTCGCTATCAATCTCGTCGTCTACAGGATAGTGTGTGTCGTACATAGCGCTTCCAGGATCATTTTTCGGCAATGTGCGTCCAGCGACCAGGGCAGAGATAACCAGCAGAAGAAAGAGTGATACAGTTGCTTTCATGTTTCCTCGCACTGTCGAAACAAGCAATATTTCTCGTTAGTTCACTTATCTATTGATTTGTTTGGCTTTCGTTTGGTTGGTGTTTTATTTACCGCAAATTCCAAATACAGTGAAAATGGAGGCTCAATAAAGGGTATTATTTCTGTATTATTGTTTTTGCTGTTCATTTAGGTATCTCAGTTTTACAACGAGAAAAGACTTCTAAAACTGGGCCAGTCCATTAATTCTCAGAACATCGAAGTTAAGCTAGGCGAAGTAATTCCAACTGCCTGTTAGAAGACGGTTGAAAACGTGAGGCTTGATCTCCTGAACTGACCATCGAGTTTTTTGAAACATGAAATAAGTCCGCGTCAGAACATCTCACAAGGCCAGAACTTATTTCGGTCTTTATCGCACGAAGTCAGCTAGAATTCTGTAGAATGCTGTTTTTGATAAAGTAACATATAATTGAAGACCATGTTACTACAGCCAGCTAGTTTAATCTACTTAAGCTGGCAATTAATCTAACTTATTTTTTATCATAATTACACATATTAGAATCATCGTATATTTTAGATATAAACTGTGAAACTTACCTTCGTTTCTTACCGACAATGTTGCAAAGTTATACCAGCAGAGGATGGCCTTGCAACATAAAGTGAGACCTTAATTTAAAGTTCCTTCAATATAATGGGCTAGAATTCCTTGGAAACGAGAGGTGTAGAGAAAACATTTACGTTCTAGAAAGAGCCCTTGCGAGGCTTGCTTTTCATATTAATTACTACGTAGGTTTGTACGTGGCAATAAGAAGAAAAGAAAAACCAGTCGCTCTAAGGCATCAAATCAAAAACATCGAACCAACTCAAGATTAATGTTTTGCTTAAACACATTGTTTTGTTTTTCGTTTTTCATATTCCGTGGTGTTACTGTAGTGACAAACGTTTGATTCTAAAAAATGTAATCAACACCCATCGAAAAAACTGTTTTATTAAGTGTTGGCTTTGAAGCATTTCCTGCCAGTAAGTTTTAAATACAGAGATTGCAAGCTGTGCCTTCAACATGTTTCCTGGCAAAGGAAAGTTGTTAGGAAGAATGAAGTTGTGAGTGAATGAATATCATTGTAGAAACAGAAGTAAGTAACTAGACAAATTTTCTGATAAGAAATATAAGAAAAACATTCACAGTGCAGACCTGCAGGGCTTGAATGCAGTTTTTGAATGATCTCACTTAAGCTTATATCAAGATATCGTTATAAATGCATACATTGGATGGTATGAGAAAATAATAAAAGAATTGGACTGTTTAATAACTTTTGTACATGACTTTATTTTCCTACTAGCAAGCGGTAACTGGCATAAATACATATCAGGTCTCTAAGTAACCTTTGAAAAGAAGTGCGACCTGCATCAACTTTTAAACAAAGAATTTTCGGCAAAGAATAGAAGCTATCCGCTGTCGCCAGAAGTCTATAGCTTATTGCCAGTTGAATTTTTAATTAGTAGCACTACCGTACAAATTGGTTTTCTTCGCTCGAAAACATCGGTTTGTTATGAGTGGCAGCGGAATGAATCATCGCTAAATTCTGTATATTAAAGGTAAATTTCTAAGTGTACCATTTGGGAGGAATCGTACGGTGTATTTCGTTACTCATTGCTCCAGTATAATTAGTTTCTTCCTTGATTCTAAGTCTGCTGTTTTCGTGTAAATGATTCAAAGAACGGTGAAAGCGATATTAACAATAAGTGAAGAAAAAAATGCATGTCTGTAAATGTTTAAAGTCAATAAATTACTTATGATACATATTACTAGAAAAGTAAAAGGTTTAATTTCTTCTAAATATAAAATTAATAAAATAAGCTGTTCAGATATTCAGTTTCACGCATAAATCTACCACAGGCCAAGGTTCTAGATTCTATTTCCTTAAAAGCCATGGACACTATTCAGTTTGTCAAACAATTAAGTAACAATGATAATTGCGGCAACATTCAGTTGACACAAGGAAATATTCCCTTTATCCTAAAGAATCATGGCTTGAGGCTAGTCCGAGGTCAGCCGTCTCTCCCCCCCCCCACCTACCTTTACCCCTTACGTTTGTATTTCTTTCGCGCTCGGCAATATAGTTTATAACGGATAACGCACCCTTCAAAGCTGTAATTTAGCTAACGATGTGGCTTGCCGATAAGCCGATTATTTTCGAGTCAGAAAATCATTTCTTGGCGTTTATAACAGCCATCCTATGAGAGAATTTTGTGCGGCATTTTGTGCCTTCCTTTTCTTTTTCAAGCCATTTGCAGAGTTTAATTAATGAACTCATTCTCCCTGTTGTTAGTCTGGATTTAGTTTCCCAGCAGTGCATGATGCGTTTACATGACTTACAGAGTTTTAAAGAATAACGAGAGGCTTGGCAGAGAGTACAGTCCATAAACAGAGTTTCAAAAATTTATTTACCACCGGATCGAGGGATCCCTCCTTAGAATCTTTTGTGCGGCTTCGTCGCTAGGCCATTTTGCTATCGCGCGAAAAAACCTCTCAAGCAAGGCGTGTGGGAAGAAATTAAAGCAAACTGTCGGTCTTTGTTTGAATACATGGAATAATCAGTCTATTTCACCTTCGGCTCTTTCCCAAGAGATTCGGAGGACATGATGACAAAGGAACCCTACCTAATGGATGGCTTGATGAAAATGCGGTAAAAAGAACCACTCATCTGAGTAGTTTCTTTGTTTATGCCTAAGCATCAAGCGACAAAGTGCTTATTAAAGAACTCATCGAACTAAGGTTTATTTCATCTTGTCCGCTTTCAAAAGGGGCTTATTTTCCCGGGGGAGGTACTCCTCAAAGTTTTTGGTAGGAGTGTGTGGCCCAAACCTTGAAACCCTTACCCTATTTCAGACCAAAATCAGTGATTTTCCATTCCCTATTTCAGATCTGAGCCAAAAATCGATAGCCTATTTCAGACCTCTTAAATTAAAGCAATTCCAATATATGAC